ATAGCATTAATCATCCTTTGGATAACATTGCTTGGAAAACATCTTTGCATAAGTCATTCCAAACCCTTAAATCATGAAAACCTCTTTAAAATCACTTGAAAAATCAATTCTATAACAATTCTATCGATACATCTACATGCAAGGAATCTATCGATACCCTTAGTAATGTATCAATACATTTCACACAGAATACCTTTTGTAGCATTTTATTGAAAATGTATCGATACATACATCATATGTATCGATACTTTCGTTACAGAATCTAACTTTTGGGCCTTTTCTTAAATCTAGCTCATTCATAAGTCTTTCTAGCATTAAGGGATCATTCCTTAGGCTAAAGTTTTATCTAACTAAGCTGATATCACCTCATTACAATGTGAATAACATCATCAAATACTCATATAATCATAAACTAGGCATTTAAGCATAAATTATGAAATAATACTTATTCAATCATTTCTCTAACTCATTAATCTCATTCATTGTAACATTTTAACTATAAGTGGTCCGCTTCATTCTGGTGAATAGTGGTTTAACCTTTACTATTTTGGATTCTTATCGCGCTTTCGTGAATGGCATATTGGCCACATCCACGATCTATCGAGTGGTCCCACCTTATTCAAGCGGGTAGTGGATAAAGTCCTCGCTATCGTCTGGTTCACTTCGTGTGAACAATCATCAAAATTGTGTGAGTGGGACTTCGGCCTCTTTTACGATCATCATAAGATATCTTAAGCTTAGGATCATTCTCATCCTTAGCTTGCATCATGAACATATAACATTTCCATAGATCATCATTATACGTAGCTCTCAGTGGATAAGACTATTTCAACACATATATCTTATAGCACACATTTCATGACCTCATCAATCACTTACATGCTTAGCCCATAGTGTATATGACTATCTCAATACATGCATCTCATAGCATACATTTCATACCCTCATAAATCACTTACATGCTTAGCTCATAGTATATATGATATACTTAATACATACATCTCATGGCATACATATTACAATCTCATAAATGAAACTCAAGCATCCAACATTTTTATCATGCTGCATTGTATCTAAGATGTGCATAATAACATTCATACATTAAGCGTAGAAATATCTCATACCCACACTAGCTCGAAGGTCGGAGTAATCGAGTGGACTACAAATATAAAATGGTTTGTCTCCCCTTATTAGAAATTAATATATAGTAGCATATTTACATGCATACTAGATTCGTCAACAATTTGAAAATCATTGTGTCGCACATATTACAATCATTATCAAATCAAGTCATTTGAACATTTCCTTGAAAACTTCATACAACCTTGTAGTTCAACTTCTTTAATAAACCATTTATGAAAATAATTTTTCAACATGCTTAAACAACCATTTTCATAAAAATCATACTAACTTTATATATTAAAATACTTGAAAGTGTTTCCACTCACCTAATTGGAGATTCAATTTCCTAGTTCCAATCATAATTGCGTTTCGACATAATCTGTGGAGTTTTTAAGCATTTCTATCATACAAAAATCATCAAAATCATTTCCTGGAATAAAAATCTCATAATAATCATTTTAGCTACTTTCGAAACTACTAACTTTTAGCTAAATTAATTTTTTAACTAAAACCTATACTTAGAAACCCATAAATCTTTCATCTTTACCTTAAATGAGCTTAGATGCTTAGTTTAATCTATGCCTTGGAATCCTGGAGTTGTTGTCTTGGCTTCTAAGAGTCTTTAGTTTTGTTTCAAAGCTTTTGTTATAACGTTTCCAGTTTGTATTGACCAAAAAACACTAATGTAGATACAACAGTCATGTTATTATTTAAGTAGCTTGACGTAGCCTCATTGACGATGGGTGTACATGCCTATGCTTTTCCAACCTGTCCAACAAATTAAATATATTGTGAGAAATTTATTCTTATCTCTTTTTCCCTTTTTCTCTGCTTTGTAGGTGGATTAATAGTTTATCAACCAATAAACATGTAATTAATTAAGGAATGGTCATTAACTTTGCAGATTCCAAGGTATCTCTAATTGGAGTCCAAGTACGTATGCTCTTTGCCCCATCATTGTGCTTCCACTAATTACCATTATTAGTGTGCTATTGATTAAATCAATTCAAAACCTCCCTCCTTTTCAAAGGCAAAAGCTTTCGAATGGCCCATTGCCTAATTAAAAGCTGCAGAAATAAGATTCCTAACCCTTGTAACATGTGTAGATAAGGGCACCTTTCTCAATCATTTCTATCTCTTTCAACAGATACCTATATTTGCATGAATTTGGCAAAGGAGTACCCGACATGGCATGATACTTGTTCGTCTGCCATAGGTAATTTTTTTCTTTCTATAAAATACTTTTCATCAGTTTCAAGAATCCTAAAGTCATCAATATATTGAATGAAAAAATATTAAATAATGTGTTAATTTAAATTTATTAAATTTTATAATATTACATCGAATCTGTAATTAAATGACAATAAATTTGAATCGATATTTTGTATAATTCATAAATTTATTGATTTGTGTAATACTGAGTTGAATTTGTAGTTGAATGACAATAGACTCAAATTGATATTTCATGTAATTCATCCAATCTCTCTATTTAGAATATTAACATATAAAGAATTAGAGGAGAGAGGTGATAGCTAGGTCAAATAACCAAAGAAATTCTAGGGGAAACGTGGAGGCAAATATCTTGCTTGGTCTGCTTATAAATTGATTTAAAGTATTGGTATTCAGCTTGGTTAGTGACAGTTGTAGCATCCCTTTCATCGAAAACCTTGATTGATATTGAAATAAGCAAAAGGTTGAGACAAAAGAATTTAAGGCATGTCAACCCACCTAGATCCCACATTCTTCAATCAATTTGAATAAGTCGTAAACCCCAAATGACTTAATCCGAGTCAGCTTGCAGCCGGCACCCAGCTCCTCCTACCTAGTGGCTACCATTTTAGTGACATGAACCCTTCAAATAGACAATTGGCCGGCTCTAAGCTTTTGATTAATTTATGATCTCAGTACATGTAAATCCATGAAAGAAGCGTATCCGGGTTTCTGGGTCCGAAGGTTTAAGTTAGTTTCCATCTTAATTATATATAAGCCCACAAGGGGGAATCCCACCAGAGATGGGACTCTTTCAAGCGAGGCTTGACTCATTATGGGCTTGGGGGGATTGAAGTTGAACACATACATGTGGAAGTGTCCTGTCTCTCACGATAAAAATGCAATCCTTGTCTGGCTAGTTACATTTTGAGCATTGATGTAAGATAGATAGGTAGAGCCAAAGCAAGTAGGGAAGGTTGTGCTTGGAAGTTGGGATCCCAATCCCATGCAATAAACTCACTTGGGCAACCACCCAACTTTGTTTATCACCACATGACAGATTGAAACAGTACAGATACTCAGATCTCGCGTTGAGGAAGACACTTTTGCTTAACACACCATCTATGCGTTTTGTCATCACGATCTGTGGTGAACAGCAGAGGGCCCAACAACCTAACACAACAGCTGCCTAACGAAAGAAAAGGGCAGATTTTGATGTATTGAGGGGCTCAATAATAGAACTAATAATTCCAAAGAATCAGATTTCTTTGTCGGGATCTAGCCATGAAACTGAAGCAATCAGGCTCTGTTATTAAATGCTGTTACAAGTGAAGCTCAACCAATGGTTAATTAGTTCTGATTTTGGTAGATGCAAAAGATTATTACTAGAGCAGCAATGAAGATAACAACAGAAATAAAATGACTGGGATGAATACAAACAAGAACATGCTACCAAACTCTAATGTGGCACCGGCTGTCCGCCTGGTAACGCATCCTGGGTCTAACGTTAGATCTCCAAAGTAGAGATGAACCCCAGGATTCTTCATTTTAATGTTACTCCCCAGCAACAGAGAATTGTTTGCCCCTTGAATGTTGCTGTTTGTATAAATGTTGATGCAGCAACAACCTTCGGGCTCGCCTGCCATGCCACGGCGGATGAACATGGCCGCCCCAGCATTGCTCCCTTCTAAGTTAACGCGATTAAAAGAGCCCAAGCTGATTTCTGGGGTTCTGCTTCTTGACATGATAGGTTGGTTTAATTGACAGCTCGTTCTGAAATATGAGAAGGGTCAAGCATATCACTCATGTACAGTTTGATTGTTCCTTCACCTCACTGCTTTGCTTCTTTGCTTGCATTATGAGTTGTTGTGCTTTCACTTTTCGCCAGCTACATGAAAAGATAAATTCTATTAGAATCACTTAAACAACACTCCTTTTACCCGTTTCTTTTCTTTGATTGCAAAGAGTAGCTCAAGAAGCAAAGCTTTTATTTATCTTATTAATGTGGTCGAATTTTATAAATACTAGATTAATAGTTTGAATGTTATCTAAATCCGTACTTGAATATCTTAAATACTACCTGTTTTTCGTACTGATTAAGTATTCAATTAAAATAAATTTAAAATAATTTTTATATATAGGGTTGAAAAGATTTATGTATATTATTGATGAAAATTAGAGTAATAAAGTTCAGTTAGTTTACAAGAAAATAAATTAAAGTTTGACAACATATTCACAACAATTAATATATTTTAGTAAGTATTACATTATTTATAAAAAAAAGTTATATATATAAAACTAAAATTTAATATTAAAAATTATTATTTATAATTAAATTTGAGTAGTGTTTATCTTATAATTATTACCCGAACACAGAATATAGATTTAAGAATAATATAGAGACAACACATTAAGTTGCTCTCTTTCCACTTCATCCAATTTTGAAAGTAATGATAAAATGTGCACCACATACTCTTCATGTCTGGCGACACTGTATATATATTAGTAAGTATTACAATTGCACGCTGTAAGATCAAATGTAATTACAGGCCAAAACCAAAACCAAAACCGAACGGATGTCCAAAAATATCAAAGGCAAGGATAAAAATTTGGGAACCGTTGAAGCTGCAACATTTCAGACTGCCATGGAATTGAGGAAAACGCAAAAATGCCACACAAACAAAGAAAATGGTTTCTTTTAACAGGAGATACCTCCCAAGAATTATCTTCTTTAAGAAAATTACAAATGAGCTGAATATTTCTCACAATTATACATTCCTGAAATAACTCAAGGTTCCTTCCCCTTTATTATTCTTTCCTAGTTTCTGCCATCGAAAACAAGCCCCTCTCTTAAAACCTATGATGCCACTAATTAGCCAACCCCATACCACCAAAACAGTATCCGAAATTTATTAAATCTTGCTACTCAGAGACTCGCATACTTCATCTTGACAAAAAGGACACTAGAATTATGCACTTTTGGTCATTCTCGTCTTAAGGAAATGAAAGCATAACATACCAGTATAGGCTTTTCCAAATCGGTGGCATTCTCAGACAAAAAACACATCAGGGAATGAGAGATCAAAATAAAATTAAGGCCAATATTCTGGATTAACTTTTTCGCTGACTGTAGACCCAAATTGTGGACCACCCTTACGGTATTGGATAAGATACTCAACTGGGTATCCCTTCAACTTATGAGGCACAATACCCAAATCCGTAAAAGTTAAAGCTGCAAAACACACAACAAAATAAAAGGGGAAAATGAGAGATCGAATACATCTTGTAACAAGGAAACTTATCGGCAGTGCCATTAAACATTAGAAGAAAGAATGATATATTCTAGCCTGAAAGTATTTCAACTGACCATTTTCTGAGACAATGGTATCAGTTGCAAATGCATGTATCTGATCAAGATTAAAGATGTCAGGATTTGGTAGTGGAAATGGCACTTTCTTGAGTAATACCTCTCTGGGCATTGCAATTGCCTGAAACCATCAAACAATGATTGAGCTCTTCAATTATAATTTAACAGCAAACGCTACAAATAAACAAAACTGTGATAATACAGTAACAACATGAATAAGCAAATTGAAGCACAATTTGCAATCGCGCATATCAAGGTGTTAGTCATAATTAAGGCATGAAAACTACAACACACAGTCCCCTGAAATTTATAAGAAATTTGTTGCCATCAAAACTTTATGTTTATAATGCATATGGGCAATACTCATAAATTAGACAACAGAATAAAAGCTGCACTTGCTTGGAATAGCTAAGACATTGCTTCTGGCACTTAGCCTGAAGCAAATTCAACCTCCCTATCATCCAAATAGAAAGGTTACATATTTACCTTTGCAATGGGTAAAGGTACTTTTACATAGTGGGGCCACTCACGGATCATATCATGCATAAGCTCAGCCTGCATGGAATTTTAGGTTCAGTTATACCAACAAGCATTGCTGCAATAAATGAACAAGAGGAAAAATATTACCAGCTCATGCACGGTAAAGATCTCTGGCCCACCCAACTCATAAGCTTTTCCCATACTGGTGCCATCATCTTTTAAGGCCGCAACAATCGCAGAAGCAACATCAACAACATATACAGGCTGGATACTGTGAAGAAACTGGTGTTAGTAAAAGATGCACAAAGCTTTCAAAAAGAGACACAAATATTAATTAAAAATTTCAGCTTATTTCAAAATTACTTTGTAGATCCATCACCAATGAGTGGAAGAAAACCATATTTCTTTACAAATTGCGCCCATCGATTCATGATCCGATCCTCAGTACCAATCATTACAGCAGGTTTTATGACAGTAGCCTGTAGAAGGAATAATATGCTCAAAAAGTTGATGTTGAACCAGAGGGTAACATCTAAAATGAGGAAGCATAGGGCAGACCATCTTTTAATGAGCTAATCACACCTTTTCAACTCAGTTTAGCCTCTCCAGCATGCTCACTTAACTTCCCTCAAGCTTATTCAGGAAAGAGAGGTGCTTGTGTATTTATTATGTACTTAGATTCTGCAAAATTTGGGTTCTTACTATGATTGCACTACCTGTGTTATGTACCACTCTCATTATTTCCTAAAGGTGACATCACATCTTCACACAAAGTCCAAAACTAAGTAGACACAATCAAAAGTTCAGCAACTTTGATCCTTCTATTGCAGCTATAACCACATCATGTTTTCAAGATCACTTTCTAGAGGAATTTTCTAAACAGCTATCAGCTAAGTGTCTGATAAAAATAAAATATTTCAAAGAAAAGAAGGTATCACAAATTTGGTATTAAGCATTTAAAGAGTGAAAATGACCATTAACTCAAAACAAATCTTATATCAAATTGCATGAACTCGGATTTACTTTGGTTTAGGATGATATCAGTTCGTGAAATGAGCAAACATGTTGCAAGGGCTAGAGGGGAATGGAGATGATTGCAGGCTAACATCAATGCATTCTTTAATTCTATCAGAAGAAGAAGGAATACATCAATGACTTCTCTTTATTCTTATTAGGAAAGATTACAAAAGGAAGAGGATTCAAGTTGTCAACTGCATCTTATTTCTCACCTCTATTATTCATTGAAACACAACTTTGATCTCAATTTCCCAAAGGTAGAAACAATAATATTACAAGTACAAAAGCAACATTGTCATTCAAATAAACAGCAAATATGAATGCTGTGTCCACCAAAAGCACAAGAACGTTTTTGGATAAGATCCTAGGAATGGGTATCCTTGTTATAAAGCTAAATAAAACAAACCATTTCTATCTCCTTCAAACCTAATTTTGTTTATATGTAACTGCATCCCAGATAAGAAAATAAACCCAAAAACAGAAATATGTCCATTTGTGCTCAATATAAAGTGTATACGTTATTAGATAAGACTATTTCACAATTATTACTTTACAGATTCACTCTTCTTATATTATAATAAATTAATGCTATATCTAGCATTAGCATCTCAAGTTGTAGAAATCAAAGAGTAATTACTTCAGGAAGTTCTCTTAAAACAGCTTCCTCTGCAGCAGCCTTCGCCCTTAGAAATCTTGATGCAGATGATGGAGAGGACCCTAAGCAAGAAACTTGAAAAAATCTCATGATACCACCATGTTCTCTGGCAATCTGGAAAAATCAAGAAAGATAAACTGACTCATGAACTACTAAAAACTCCAGAAAATTCAGCTTAGTTAAACGTAGAAAATGGTTGATTGCAGAAGATGATATGATAAGCAAACTATACACTGGTTCATACGATAAAAACTCAATAAAGATGTATCACAGATAATTTGGTCATAAGTATCAGCTTGAATGACAGAAAAGAAAATGAAGTCAATCAACTTGCTATTTGTAATCAAACCTATCTAAAGTTGAAGTAAATGATAGAGCCTCAAATAGAGTACATAGCTCAATTATCCTTCAAAGGAAAGAGAGATTGTAAATAATACATTTTCTTCTACTTCAAAGTCCCCCTACCCCCCACCCCCACACCCCTCCTCCAACGGAGGACTGAATATAACCTTTAGCCCATACACAAGAATTTGTCCAAAATCACGCTAATACCCATTATCAGGAGATTAAGGGTGCCAATATCAATGTGAATGAAAGTTCCAACATACCACTGCCAGTTGTTCTGCCATGAAATGGTTCACTTCCTCAAAGCTATAGTTTCTTGTCTCATATTCTCTTCCTGCCAATATAAGCAATACTTTATCAAATGAATCTAAGATTTCAATGACTCTCATAGGTAAAATCAAAAGTGAAGCCTAGTATACCAATAAGATTGATAACAACATTAGCCTTTGCCATCACAGCCTTAATCGAATTTTCATCCCTTGGATCATATTTCATTGGCACTATCTGTGTACGAGAAATATGAAATTAAAACCATAACCAAAATACTTGAATATGAATTTCAATAAAAAGCAATATCATGTGGTATGCTACCTGTCCCAAATCTCCCATCAACTTGAGATGACGAGGGTTATCCTCAGAGCCCCGGAAAGGAACTAACACCTGAGATCCCATTTTAGCTAAAAATAAGAGGAAAACATTAGCAAGTATATACCTTTCAATTAAACCCTAGGTGGATTATTAGAAAAAATAATAAGCTCTCAGTCATGCACATTTTAAGGCAAAACATGAAACATTTGAGAACAAAAAGAAGCATAACATCAACATAACTAAAACAAAACAATTTGATTTTGAATTTGAATTACCAAGCTGTTGCACAACATAACGACCAAGGAATCCAGTAGCTCCAAATACAGTAGCTATAATTCCACTGCAAGAAAGAGAAGGCAAAATTTTATGCCTAATTTATAAGCAGAATAATATTACCAATATTTTTTTAAAAAAAAAAAAAGACCACATTTGGTATATTTATCGCAATAAAACAGAAAATTTCAGCTAAAAAGCATGAATTCCAAGAAATGACCTAACGGAGGACCGGCCACCGGTGCCCTTGCGAACAAGGTGACCCAAGCCCTTGTGGGCGGCCAGCGTAGATCCGTAGCGCGGATGATCACCTCCATAATCTAAAAAGATTGATAAGAAAATGGTTCAAATTTTGATAAGAACCATGAATTTGAGGCAAATGCGATACACCAACGTAATAGAAGAAGAAAAGATTAATTGAGAATGCACAAAGAGGGAATGGAAAGTTACAGTGATGGAAGAGAGGGTAAATAGACTCGATAGAATAGATAGAAGGAGTTGGCCTCAGAGATTGCTGCCCTAACCGTCTCGTAATCGCCTGCATCTTTTCTCCGCTTAGCTTCTCCGAGAGAGAGAGGAGGGAAGTGGTTTTGTTACAGTGCAAGTATCGAGAATTAGAAGATTAGGATCTTGGGTCTTCTAATATTAATTGTCAGATTTGGGCTTGGGTTCATTGTCTTTATCCCACTGGATCATGTTGGGCCATGGAAATGTATGTGAACCTTTGATCACTATTACTTTGTTAAATTTGGTGAATGGGTTTCATCAAAGCGACCAAAGTCTCAAGCTGAAAATCAACTGGAACCGCCACATTATTCCTGCCCAAGAAGACTCGCCTTCCTTGGTTGCAAACCAGAAGAAAAAACAGAAACCCGTGTAGCTCTGTTAACCTTTCCACATAACTACTCACAAAACGATTGTTCAAAGAAAATTTTACTCAGCTGCCGAGTAATCATCCTCCTTGCAGTTTCTTGGCTATGTTGTTCAGGAAATAACAAGATAGAGATGAGGGAAAACACCGTCAAAATGAGGGAGAAAGGGTGAACTTGGAATGTGGGAATACCAGAGTCCTCGAACGTATAATGTATGTATTATCATCAGGTCAAATTGCATGTTATGGAATCTCCCAATTGCAGGCATCAAGGAGTCCGCATTATCCAGATGGTAGCAAGAACATTTTTAACGGCATATCCTCTGAAAACTGCTTAGTAAATTGGATGTAGAATTTTTGTGCTACAGCAGTACAGAGATATATTCAATGTTGCTCAAAGAGTGGGGGAGAAAGAGCAGGAAAGATACAAGTTTGAAGCAAAATTCATGGCATCACTGCCTATAACTGAAGTTGCCACTAGAGAGAGATGAAACAAAATTTATGTTCTTCAGTCTACAACTAAAATTTTTGCCAGTAGTAACAGCGAGTCTTACTAGTTCTTCAACTCTAAAAATTGCCCTAACTAACACTCTCACATTTCTAAGTACTACTTTATTGCACATCATTGAACAAATATGAACCACCCATTTTTTTCTTCCGTGTAATTATTACCAAACTCTACCCATCTGACTTATTTTCCGATACAAGGTATGCCGGGTTGCTAGCCGTGCATGAATTCCCCATATGCACTTAAGGGGATGAATTAACTCAAAATTACCTCGAAGTAGAAGCTACTTTCCTCTACTTGAGGTTTTGGTTTAATGGCATGATGTTCACATCTGTCCTTGCCATTTGTCATTGAGTTTGCCAAGCCAGGTTCTGCGAAAAGCAGCAGCAGCAGCTGGTTCAATCTTGGCAGCTTGTGGTGCCTCTAACTGGAAGAATTTTGGGCACGCAATCTGTTTCAAAAATCTGGTATCCCACTTGATCTTGAAGAATACTCAGTTACCAACTTTAGAAACATGGATGATTTATCCTCAAGGAGACGTGCTGGAGTATCAAACTCTGCAACTCGACCTACAAATTGATTGCCAAGTCATTGGAAAAAGGTTGAGACTTTCAATACTTGAACACCAATAATAATACTGAAACATCTCAAACTTAAGATGAAATATTAAAGATATTGTTTTACGTACCGTCACTTAGTACCAAAACAAGATCACTGTCAATTACAGTTGGAATACGATGTGCAATTGTGCAAACTGTGCAGTTTTTGAACTCTGTTCGGATGATCTTCTGTATGAGATTGTCAGTGGCAGTATCAACTGACGCCGTTGCTTCATCTAGCACAAGTATTCTTGCCTGTTTAAGCAAAGCCCGGCCCAGGGAAACAAGTTGCCGCTGCCCCACACTCCAGTTATCTCCATTTTCTAAAACTGCACAGTTTACATAAAGAAAAAAGGATCTATCAATCACATGCAACTTTAGGGGCTTTTGCCTCTTCTTTCTCTCTGCATTTTTCCTTTTCTTGTTTCAGTTCAAATGATACAGTAATAATGTCCAAGAGAAAAAGCACAAACCTGGTGTACCAAGCTTTTGGTCTTTCTCACGAACAATATCTCCAAGCTGAGACTTATCAAGTGCCTGTGACAAATCAAAATTCAGTACTTAATTGGGTGCACATCATTCAACATGATCATATTTCAAGATTCAAGGATCATTTTGTCATGGTAGTTGTGTTTACTTGGAAGAAAATGATACCAAAAGCTTGAAAAAGAATGTAAATCAAGTAACTAAGTGGCAGTTGTTTAGCATGGACCATAAAAACTTTTGGGAGGTGTCAGGAAGTGAATGTGAGCAAATGAGAACAGATAAATTAGTATAATTTATTTGTAACAATGTACCCTACGAACTAATAATCTCATTGAAAATAACTTCAGAATCTTCAAACAAAAACTAGAAACTTGGTAGTTATTCAAAATTTCTAGACTTTTAATTACTTTAAAGACAAGGAACATCATGAATGTGTTATAACAGGGGATTCATGCCCATAATTAAATACCAGGTTTTCTGTCAAATTCATAAACTAAGTATAACTCTCTGCTAAGTATACTTGTAAAGTGAGGGCGAGAGAGAGAGCTCGTATGCAAGGGAAATTTATACCTCCCAAATTTGATGATCTGAATGTTCTTCAAGAGGATCAAGATTGGCTCTAATAGTTCCTTCAAATAATGTAGGATCCTGGGGTATGATACTAAGACGGCTACGAAGGTCATGGAGGCCAATTGTAGAAATGTCAATGTTGTCTATAATGATTCTCCCACCAGCCGGCTCAATCAATCGAAATAATGCTTGGATCAAAGTAGATTTACCACTTCCAGTGCGCCCAACAATTCCAATCTTCTTGCCACCAGGAAATGCACAGGTTACCCCATGAAGCACCACAGGAAGATTTTCCCCATAACGAACCTTCAAAAGAGGGAATAGAAAAGGGAAAGTAAAAGTCAGCATGTGGTGCTTGTAATATTCTAACAAAGAATATTTTATCTTTTTTCTCCAACATCACTGAAAAATAAAACTATGAATTATCTATTAATTACAACCAGCCTTCTACAATATCTTTCTTTCATTCTTCTTTTTGTGGCATGCGAAAAATAAAAAAAAAAAAAAAACCAGAAAACACAATCTAAATTTCCCAATTCAGTCGACTAAGTCAAGCAAGGGGAGAAAAAGATATTAAGTTTTTAGCCAGAGGAATTATTGAAATGCCACTAGATTCTCCCTTCTCACACCATAAAGCATTCATATCCTGCACACCTTCCTCATAAAGTTGCTACTACTGGGTGGTGTTTGGTATGGGGTGATCACCCCAAAATCCATGATGATCTGCACTCAGTAATTAGATCACCGTGTTTTGTAGGAACTTGGTTATCTTGCATGGCAGTGAGCTTAGACCACCAAGAGTGATTAAATCACTACTAATTCTTATACAGAAAGGTGGAAAACTTTTTTCACCAAGCTGGAGTGATCTGTAACAATGATTTTGGACAATTTTACCCTTTAAAATGTGCAAAAAAGACTTGCTTCCTCCCAAAATAAAAATAAATTTTTACAGGGTAAGGCTTTACTCTTGCAAATATTCTTTGTTGCCAACTGAAGGGATATTACATATTTCTTACCACTTTTTTTTCTTTGGTTATGTATGTAACCTTTGTTTTGCTAGCAAATTCACTATTATTTTGATAAATTAAGTTTGTTTTTCCATTCAAAGGTTTCATCTAATTTAAAAGGTTAAACGCTAGTTTATCAAAGATAAATATTTTATATATTTGTTTATTGATTTCATAAATCATTAAAGAAATAAAACAATAATATTTCACCAAATTCTTATGTTAATAGAATATTACAATTATTAATATATTAACCTTTAAAACATGATTATTTTGGTAATTTATACAAAACAATGTTTGATTTTTATGGGATACCCAATATTGCGATCTCTAATCCCTAGTGATTAATGATCACTGAGTAAAACCATACCAAACATGGTGATCATGTAATTAGATCAGCATAGGGGTCTTGAAAAGGATACCGAAGGCTACCTAAAAGACCTAATATATAAAAAGAATGGCATATGAGTCTTCTATGTTGCCAGGAAAAGAAGTTACTGCATGATGCGGTGAAAAACAGCTGAATACCTTCAAGTCGACCAATTCAATTGTTCCATTTTCGGGCCATGAGGATGGAGGGCGGGAGTTCTCAATAACAGCAGGAGCTTCACTTGGAATTTGGCTGTACTGATATATCCTCTCTATGGAAATAATTTTATTCTCAAGCTTGCAAAAGCTAAGTATCCACCGCGACAGCCGTGCGTTTAAGTTAAGGCCATACGTCACAGCAAGGCCTGCCATACCTGTTTAGAAGAAACAATGATGATTAGCATCAGCATATTATCACGATTAACAGCTCCAATTTTTCACTTTTATCTTATATCTAACATAGTCGTAATACTAATGAAACTGTGTTGTCCTTCTTCGACTAAAAAATAGAAACTGTGTCCAAACTTGGCAGCACCAGTCTAGCTCTCCTCCTCATGGAGGATCACAGCTCAATTCAATAAAACCTTAATCCTTACCAGCCAAGATCAACCACAACAACACAATAGACACCATTTAAAGGAAAAAGAAAAAGTAATGTGTGATAATGTAACTAAAGTACCCAAGAATTCTAAGGGTTCTTAGTCTAGTCAAACAACACGGTGCAATGTCTACTAAAGGATTGTTTCTCAGTACCACTACCCCTCAACCCTTTTTAGGGTGAAAAAAGAACCAAGGGAAGAGCCATGAGTTTAGGATCGTGTCTGCAGAACTAGATTTCAAGAAGGTAAATAAAGAAATTTATAAACTCAAACACACTGACCATTGACTTGCCTTAGCAATTGAGAAATCAAATTTACTTTAAATTGTGCAGTACACAGCACTCCTGATCACTCAAAATTTCTTACAAAAACAAGTAGATTAAGTAATAATGCAAAAGATTACTTACTTGGATCAATACTTCCATGTGGAAAACTCACAAGCAAAATCATGCAAAATGCAAATACAAAGGTTGAAAGTAACTCCATACGCAGGCAGAGCCATTCAATGGCTGCAAGACTGCAAAAGAATGGGCGAGCAAAACAATCAAGAAGATAAATGTTTCTCTTCATGAACCTTTTCTCTTGCCCAAAACCTCTTATCGTGGATGCTCCAGCAATGGACTCACCAAAAAGATGAATAATTGGAGACTTCTGGATGCTAACTATGCGGACCAGTTCCCTCGATGAAGCCATGTAGTATTTCTGCAACCAGCAAAAGTAAGCAATGCATCAGAAGAAACGTGTTTCCCAAGAAACTACATTACAGAACTCTGAAATGATAAAGTGCATGCTAAGTACACCAACAACAGTTCAAATGGTTAAGGGTAGTTGAATGAAAGAAAAAATGTGAATTTCGAGACTGGCAACTTCAACTCCAAATACAAGAATCTAACAATAAATAAACAACCTCGTCAAGCAATGTGAAAGTTGCAAGGAAAATCCAAGAAGATAGGAAAATTAAAATCTTAAAAAGGTTGAAAGATAAGCTCATATCCTTTCAACCTTACCATCAAGGTTTTTAGAGCATGTCAACAGACATTAAAGTAATCCAATAAAGAGTAGTATGAGGCATATTTTGGGGCAAAATTTACCATGATGTAAATACTACTTCTCATTGTTGCATTCACCAGAATCTAGTGGAAGCGCTTTATGACCACATTATTTACAAGTTAAGAACCAATGGTAACTCTAAGACCAGAATTTAAAGCAATTTTAAATAATCAATCACCCATAGACAATTGAACTGATGAAATAATGGAATTGGTCTATACTCCTTAGAAATGCGTGTTTAGAAATAGAAGCAGATGTTTAATATGTCATTCCTCTCTAATCACAATTCAAACAGATACCAAAAGAATAGGAAAAGAAGAAAGGCGCACAATTCACTGCTGAGAAGAAAAGAACAGATATAAATAATAGTTAATAGCTAGTGATTGAAGCAACCTCACCACAGAAAAAATAAAGGCCACGCCATCACACATCAAATAATCATAGTCTAATTTTTTTTAACATTTATATAAGCCATTCTAATGCTACAAAATCATATCATTTATCACATGCTGTCCATGTTGTTCACCTGGATGCACACTATGTTTCAATAAGCAATACTATTTTTAATCCTAAAAGAAGGTGACGAGCCTCCTGGTTTGTTCCCAGCTAAATCAGAAAACAGAATAAACTTAAAGAAGTAAGCTATTACTAATGTGCTTCCACTTCCCTCAGTCTATGAGAGTCAATGGAACCCAACAACAGATACTTGAGGCAAAATAGAAGTACCTACCTGCATCCACAAGCAAGCAACAGCCATTGGGACAACAAGAAGCAGTACTTGCCAAGTAACTTTTGTCATTACACCAACAATCCCAAGAAGCTGTATTGTTGTTGACGCAAACCCACCAAGTCTAAAAGGAATATCAAGATCCACAACACTTTGATCAATAGAGACCTGTGAGTTTACAAAAGACCATCATCATATAATCCGAATTAAGGAAAATGGAGTTCAAACAAAGATGGAAAAAGATCTAGCAACTTTAAATATAAGCTGTCACATGAAAATATATATTAAAAAAAAACTTACACGATTTAAGATCCTCCCAGCTGGAGTTGAATCAAAAAATGACATTGGGGCTCGAAACACACTTCTAAGCATCTTGAGAAACAATTTTTGTGCAGCTGCCAGACCGAATGTGGCTACCAGAACGGCTCTGACAAATATAAACCAAGAGCTCCCAAAAGCAAGGGCCATATAAACAACAAGGAGCACCATAGGACCAACTTTAGCTTGGTCTCCTTCAGTCTGGGGGTTCGCCCATGCCATCCACCAATTACTAGCTATTTGAAGGAACTGAAATAATGTTTGTGCAAGAACAATAAGCGGTATCAAAATGCCTTTATATGCTGCCACCATATATGACAAATACACCTTCATGCTGACTCTTCCTTTTACCCTTTCCTCTTCTTGAACAAGCTGCTTTTTCCTGCGCTTTGCTTTCTTTTTCTCTTTAATTGCTTTCTGTTCTGAAGCTGACGCACCATCCTGCACTTCCTTTGCTAAACTGTCAATATTATTTCCAGCTGAATCACATTTTTTATTTAATATGGTTGGCCCATCAAGAGGCAAATTTTCATCGGAGTCTTCTGACGAGTGACTTGGAATATCCATTGCTTCAATTGCTTCATGGTGAGCTGACACCAGAGCATTGAAATCAGTGCCTGCTTGTAAAAGTTCATCATATTTTCCAGCCTGTATGATGCGGCCATCCCGTAGAACCTGCAGACATGATTTCTGACATTTGAGAACAAAACATACAGAACACTCTATTCAAAATCACTCTCATCATATCACCACCTTTGGCCAAAAAGAAAAAAAGGAGGAAGATAGATATACTAGAACTCTTATATTGAATCCCAGAAAATGATGACACCACGTTACTTATATTGCATAATTACTCCAAAAAAAAAAATATTATTATATGAACAACAGCTGTATTCAAAACAAACAGCTTTCTGTCCAAACGACACTTCATAATAATCTAATTCATTACTTACATCATTTTCAACCTTCCAATACTGGACATAAAATCTAATTCATTACTTACATTATTTTCAACCTTCCAATACTGGACATAAAATCAGATAAAGAGAGGGGTATTACATAGGGAGGGGAAGGGGAGCACATGGCCTTGAACAAGGATTCATCCAGAAAAATTATAGATCTTTTCTTAATAAAAAGGAAAAACAATACATGTGCAAATCCATGAATTCAACCAATACGTATGCCCTTCTGGCCAGAAAAGAACCAATACATATGCTACTAATGTTTAGCTTTACCTCAAAGAAAACCTTCCAGAGATAGATTACACAGAATGCCATAAGGAAACTAAATACATATGACAAAACAAGTGTATGCTGTCCACTTTCTCAATTACTTGGTTTATTTAATATAAAGTTTTATCATTTAAGAGAAGGGGCATAACAGTCACTGAAATATCCAATTTGAATTTCGTAGTTCAAGATATTTTAGGCATAAAACCCAGTTCCTAACAATAAAAATTAACACCTCACCAAAAACACTATCTAAAATGTTCTGCTAAAAAATTTGTCCTCAGATCATAGTAGAAGCTAAAGCATATGATGTGATAGGGCATGAACTTTAGTATGTGCCATGCATTTATCCCATGAGAAAGAGTGCACTTCAGCATGCATCATGGCATGCTGGACTCCTAGCAGAAATAATTTGAAAATATTCCATACCAGTATCAAATCAGCAGTAGGTAGAAATTCAACTTGATGGGTCACAAAAATAACAGTCTTACTCGCCAGTGCTGTCATTATGTATTCCTGCAGTTCCAAATAAATTGTTCAGCCCAATTTTATTGATACGAACAGAAATGTGTGCAGTAAACTGACGGAGCCAAACCTTGAACAGTTCTGAGCTAGTGTGTGCATCAACAGCACTGAAGGGGTCATCAAGTAAATAAATGTCGGCATCTTGATAAAGTGCCCTTGCAAGCTGCACACGTTGTTTCTGACCACCACTCAGATTTATACCCCTATCTCCAATTATGGTTTGATCTCCATGCGAAAAGAGTTCAAAATCCTTCTTCAGGGAACAAGCATGGATGACATTCTTGTATTTTGCTTTATCCATTGGACTGCCAAAAAGAATGTTCTCTTCAATATTTCCAGACTGAATCCAAGCCGACTGAGAAACATAGGCAGCAGTACCACACACTCGAACCTGTTCAAACATCAAAGTAAAAGAACAGCTCTAAAACCCTTTCCATTAATGGGGGAAAAGTTGTAAAATTAAGAATATAATTGGAGGTAGAAATTAGGATAAAAGTTCTATGAACCGGACTTACTTCACCAGAGATTTTAGGAATCTCCCCAAGGATGGAAGAGAGAAAGCTTGATTTCCCAGAGCCAACCATGCCACAAACTGCAACACGCATCCCCCTTTCTACTTTCATTTGTATTCCAGATAAGGTGGGCCTTGAAGAAGAGGGGTCCCAGCAAAACTCACCGTCCTTAATCTCTATGGCCACCTTTGACATGCCTCGGGGCAGAACAATGGTGGCATCTTCCGGCAGCTCTTCCTCTTGCAGGAATCCAGAAATTCGATCAAGAGAAACCTTTGTCTGCGCCATCATAGACACCAGATCAGGAAAATTCCTGAGTGGCTCTTGGAGGATTCTGAAAGTGGCCAGTGCAGAAAGAACACCACCTGCTGTGAGTTGACCTCCCAACAATATGGATGTTGCAAATGTAACAGCCGCAACAAATATGGGGGAGCTCCAGAAAATGAATGTAATAAAGGCCTGCGAATAGAGAGCTTTACGGAGCCACTTGAATTCTACACCCCGCATCTCCTCCAGTTTCACTCGGTACCTATCCTCCCAAGCTTGTAACTTTAGAATCCTCATGTTCCTCAGACACTCAGAAGTCTTCCTCATTCTATCATCCTTGGCAGCCATTAACTTGTCTTGATAATCTTCTTGGACCTTTGCCAAAGGAACAGTAATAACTATGGATATAATGGTAGAAACCAATGTGGCAATGGAAGCAATTCCAACATTTTTATATAATATTGCAAGAGCAAGAATTATTTGCAAAGGAAGCATCCAAATATCATGGAGATACCAAGAATAGTCTCCCACTCTTTGAACATCAACAGCCATGTAATTTACAATTTCTCCACTGGTGTGACTTTGTTTAGCCAAGCTCGAGAGCTTCAGCCCCTTTTGATACACCATTGCTGTTAGAGCTGATCTCACATGCATACCCAAAATGTCAACCCCGAGATACCACTGCCGGGTTGTCAATGTCTCTACAAGCTTGGATGCAAAAAAAATTCCAGCAAGAACATAACCCTCATGAGGGAAAGTCTCCTTCCCTCCCAAATAATCAACAAAGTAACTAATCATGTATGGGCCCACATAGGAAACAAGAGTGTTCAACAAGGCAAATACAGCATTGCAAGCTGCTTCCTTCCAGAATGACTTCAAAATTGCCCAAGCCAAAGAAGGCTGCTTCAATAGGTTTTCAGCTTTCAATTTTTCCCAATTTGAATTCAAAAACTTATAATTAGTCTTGGCTCGATCTTTTGGCGCAAGAAGGGGAATGTCCTTAAGCTCAAGGGGTCTCTTCGCACCAACTGAAAGAAGTGGATTTAGCCAAGAGAGTGTGGCCAAGGTAAAGAGCCCAGCATCACTATAAGGAGTAACCTTAAGACACCCAGCCTCTTCTTCAAGAAGCAATGGCTCCTGAAGGTCAGAGTTTCTACAAACTTCTATACCAGTCACACCTCTAATTGCAACAAAGCAAAGAAATGCAAGGGCCGGGGTTACAGCAAAATTGGCCACAACATGAGAAGACAAGTGCTTTGATCCATGTACTAAGAATGATTTCCCATCAACGTACAAGCTACACAAGCAAATCACAAAAGAAACAAACCACCATACCCTCAACAACAACGGGAATTTCTCAGATACCTTAAATTTACAATGGAAAGCTGAAAAGCTCAATACAAACCAAGCTAAACCTTGAGCAGCAGGCAAGGCAAGAACAGACCAATCCACAACCTTCCTATCAACAGCCTCTCTTATCAAACCAAACCCATCAAATCCTAGCACCACAACTTGCACAAACAGCACATAGAAGCAACAAATTACAGACAATTTAAACCCAGTACCGACTACAACATCCTGAACTTCTCCATCAACACTAACACTTCTCCTAATTTGGCTTGAATTCGTAACGGAATCGTCCTTAAGAAATCGAATTCGACCAACACAGACAAATATTTGCCTTGCAGATACTATGAAAAGAAACACCAGGAAAAGTGTCAAATTGATGCAGATTGAGGATATTTCCAAAATAGGCAAACCTTGAATTGCTCTCAGAAGGGAGAAATGTGGTGGTTGTCCAGCAGACGATGATGAAGAAGAAGCTGTTATGCTATTGAGCAAAAGAGTGAAGCCCATTATTGAAATAGGTGAGTTTGTTTGTTAAGGAGAGACCTTAGAAACAAGTTGAGTCGGTGGCTTTGTTGATGTTGTTGATCAATTAAGTAAGAAGAGAGATCAAATCGTGTGAAGAAGGGCATCTCACCATCTGAAGCAATGAAAGCGGCAAAACAACAACAACAAAAAAAAGGGTTAATCGGAGATAGAATCTGCAGACACATTGCACATGAAAACAAATAGATTTTTATCAACACGGGAAACGAAGACAGAAAGCAGAAAAAAGACGATTCTTTTTATTTATATCCACTCTCTCTCTCTTCCTTATCTCTCTACATATCATCCAGAGAGAACAGAAGGAGACAAATGGAGGACACTAAAAATCAAACGAAATAACCCATATCAGAAACAAAAATACAAAACAGAAAATTTAATAAAACTGACCTGGGTTTTTGTCCTGTGATCAGACAGATGATGGTGGCTGGCTCTCTTCAAAGCTCTCCTCTTTCCCACTACAAAGCTCCAAACCTTTTTCTGATATGTATATAGAGCGAGAGAGACAGAAAGCACCACTCGTACACTGGCATTCCCAATCCCAAATGAATGATCTGTTGGTTTAGATGCTGAGTAGGATACAGCCTATAAGCCTAATAACATGTAGAATCTTGAGAAAGAAAAGAAGAAAATAAAAAAGCTATCTAATTTGAATATATATGAAGAGAAAGAGAGAGAAACGGAAGAAAAAATACTGTAGTTGTCTCTCTGTTCCTCTTTCCCCTTTTCTCCTCTCTTTGTTAGTCGCATAGAGAGGTTAAATGGAAAAGTTTTTGTTTTAACCTTTGCAAAGTTTAGTCCTTTTGTTGTACCTGTGCTTTTAGCTCTAGCCGTGTGGGAGTCTGGGTCTCTCTTCAGGAGGAGGAATATATACGTGTGTGTGTGAGAGAGAAGAGAATATTACATAGCATTTTCAAAATAGAATATTACATAGTAAACATTATTTACATGTTGGAAAGGAGGAGTGTAAATTTGTATATGTAGATGAGATGCTGATAGGGGTTCCCCTAGAATATTTTTATAAAGAAACATTAGATTATGTTTTTTGGGTTGTGTGGCACTGTTTTAGTGCATTGAGAAAGAAAAAGAAAGGGGGCTTTGTTTGTTTTCACTTTACAGTGTGTCGAGGTGGTATTGTGATGGTGTTGGAGGTGGAGGTGGAGGTGGATTTCATATTGTCCGAGATAATGAGAATGAGATTATGGGTGTGATGCCTCGCTTGGGACTTATTATTTTATTTCTCGGGGGTGGGGGGATGGATTGATTGATTCATGAGCTATGATTCAATGGCCCTTTTTGGGTTTGGCTCTTCAATGTGTAGTAACAAAAATATGTATACTCATGAAATTTAAAGCAAAATGGAAAAAGGTTATTACCCTCTTGGTTTTCATGGAAGAAAACTCAGCAAGTCATGTCAGTAATGGGACCAAACTCTAAAGTTATGGGCGGCCCCCTTAAGTTATTTTTTTGGGTGTTGGTTGTTTTGTTTTTGTGTTGAATTTTATCTGCCACAACCACTTGTCAATTGTCATCACTTGTTGTGAGAGAGAGAGAGAGAGAAATCGATGATGACCCAAAAAGGCCTTTTGTCTGTTTCTAGGGAAAAGTGGCACCTGGGTGGAGGAAGAACGAAATTCTCCCTACTCCTGAATGTGGGATGGTTTACACCTACTCCTGAATGTGGAAACATGGAAGGGAAAGGCTGCTTGGTTTTGCCCTTCTCCTTTTGCTAAGAACATGAATGGCATTGATTCCTAATATGATGCTACGATTGAATCATTTTTTGACATAAATGGGTCCGATTTTATCTATCATTTGTTAATTATAGGAACAGCTAAAACAAAGAAAATTGAAGTAGTGAAGATATGGTTTGCATGGAAAATTTCTTGGGCGTGATCTTTCAGTTAAAGCAGATTGTTGAGCTCAAATATTTGCTCCAACTTTATCCTTAACCGTCGACATGCTTTCTAACTCTAATCCTTGCCAAAAACACACTTGGTCTAATCCTAGAGGGAACCACCCTAACACTTTTAACACTTAATTAAGCTACCAGCATTGCTTGCAATTTCAGAAGGCTAAAAAGATGTCTTGTTTCTTTGCTTAATTAAGGAGATTGGCTTCTTCTATGCATCCTTGAAAGCTCATAATTTGCAGCCCTACATATATACACTCTTAATTGCAGATAAAGGTGAAGCTTATACACCTGCAAGTCAAACAAAATCAGCCCTTACGTTAGACCAGTTAGGTTTAACAAATATTAAACGCCTAACAATCTTTTCCAGGACTAAGATTTGGTAAGTTCTGACTTGACCATAACTCTCGCCCATCCCCTTTGCATTTTTCAGCTTGCACTACCATATCAATCACAATCAGCCTAATCAGACTGGGCCAAACTGCTATACATTTTATATTTGCATGTGTGTGGCTATTGAAAAAGATGTGAATGGCCTAAAACACTTCTTCAATATTTTTATACAATAAAAAATATTTAAATTCAACTCTTTAAACAAATATCCTATATAATCAAAGCTTAAATAAACCGTCATATAGTTTCCATTTTGATTTTAACTAATGTTGAATATCAATTGTCCACATTAAATAGGTTTGACTGGAGGTAATTCCAAAGTCTAAAGCATGTATTATATATATACATATATATGAGTTATTGGAAAGGGGTGGTTGTTGGTTTGGTTTATAAACTTAATCGGAATGTGGTTAAAAAAAAAGATTAGCTTTGGATCTGTTTGATTATTCCAATCAATCTAGTTTAAACCAAAGCTTCATTTGTGGAGTGTTTATAGCAAAGTTGTTTAGACACGTTTTTCATTTTTCTTTTTCACTTTTATCCAGAGCCAAGCAGTCAAACCGACCCCCGCGTGACGTGTGACGTGTGAATGACAAAATTTACGTTTGCGAGTCCGTACTGTGGTCCTCCCTCCGTTGCTTTTTCACTTTAGCTACTCTTTCGTAGTCCATATGCAGCCCCCTTAACCATCCACGTTTCACTCTTATTAATGTTTTTAGAAAACTTTATATAAATTTTTATTCTTATATTATTTTTACTTAAAATTTTATATTTTTATTTTAAATCATATAAATCTTAACAATTAATAATTAATTAATATAATTAATTAAAATACCATTTATCATTTAATCTCACGTGACGTTAACATATAAAATAAAAATATCACATAAATATATTATCATATTATATTATTTTTTATTATAACGTATCAATATATCATGTTAATATTTACGGCATAAAATAATAAATATCATTTTGATTAATAATTAATAATTAATTATTAATTATTAATTATAAAAAATTATTTAATTTAAAATAAAAATATAATAATTATATTTAACATAATAAAGAATAAAAACTTATTTAATATCTATTCAATAATTTAAAAAATTGTTTAAATTTTATGCTTTTTATTATTAACCCTACCCACCATTTACCCTAACTTAAAAGTACATGTACTTATCATTTACTCAAATGTGTTGTTAAAATTTTAAAAATATCACTTAAATGGTACTATATAATTATATATATGTTTTATAAAATAATTCCAATAATTGAACAGGTTCTCCCTTCTGTTTTTAATTTTTCTTGGTGCATTGTTACTTGGCTAGCCACAAAACCCTTAAACTGATCTATAGCCCATAGGCCGAAAGCGTGTCATAAATTGTACACGTCAAGTCTATTTAGGGATGAGTAAAATTAAATTAGATCAATTATTTATCTAAATCAAATGGAATTTAAGTAAAACAATTTGATTTAATTGGTTTATTGCATCAATTGGTTCAAGATATTTGGCTCAATTAGTTTTTTGATCGGTTCTCAATTTTAAACTTTTAGACCAATCTATCTAAAAAACCAAACTAATTTTATATATTATATATATGTATATGTATAAATGTTAATATATAATTTTTTATATATATATTAAGAAGAATTGATAGTAAACTTAATTAATAATATATTTAAAATATATTAGTTTATTATATGTACGTATACAAATTAAATCATAGTAATTTAATTTTAATTATATTTTATTTATTTATTTATAAATATGTATGAAGATGAAATTACAAGTTATATATTTTAAATGATATAATTTATATGTTAATATCATAATATATGATAGTAAATATCTTACATATTAATATGTTATAATTATTATTCCTTAATAATGTTTTGTAATATAAAATGTTATGAATATCTATAATTGTATAAATATTATATATATATATATTTAATTTATACGTAAGTATTACTATAACTTATATTAAACTTTATTTATATGATTACACTTAATAACTTTATTAGTTATCATCTTAGTTTTTATAACATATTATTTATAATTAATTATTATTTATACAAACTTTGATAAAAAAATTTAACGTATAAGTTGTGTCATTAATTTCATATATACATAATAAAGTATATATATAATAATTTATACATAAGCATTACTAAATTTATAATAGACTTTATTTATATAATTATACTTAATAAATTTATTAGTTATCATCTTAGTTTTTATTACATATTGTATTATAATTAGTTATTATTTATACAAATTTTGATATAAAAATTAAAATATTATAATATATATTTAATCTATACGTAATTTATATATTTTATAATTATGGATGAAGTTTTTAAGTTTTAATATTGTAATTTATAAAAAAAATGATAAAATTTTGATTCATTAGTCTAAAACCAAATTGATCGAACACAATTTTATGTTTGATTGTTTTAGTCTTCTTTATGTTTGGTCGATTTTTAAATATTATTTTATCTTCAGATATGGTGAATCCAATCACTCAATCTACTCATATGCTCACTTCTAAATCTACTATTTGTCTTCCATGTAAAAGCAAAACACTAAGAGCCCTTTTAACACGACCACATTTCAACTAAAACAGTTTGGAGATATGATGCCGGCAAATTTGGGGAGTTGCAAATGTGGCCAAATGTGGGAATTCTTTTAGAATTTCCTTTCATATAGGGTTATTGATCATTATTTTTTGATGAGTTTACATATTATATGAAAGAATTATAATCAAATAACTTTAAATAAGAATTAACTAATTCATCTATGGAAGAAATTAATAAACAAACTACAGGTACAAACAAACTAAATAAAATTAACATAGAATTGAATTAAACTCATACATGATGGAACTTGAATTTGAAGTTAATTGTAAATTTAACTATAAAAAACTGGTTTTGTTTAATCATAAAGCTTTAAAAAACTTTGAACGATTGAAAAAAAATTTAAATAAATTATTATTTTTTATTATATTTAATAATTTTTTATATTTTTATTTTAAGTAAAATAAACTTCTATGACTAATAGTTAATTTTTGTTATTAGTTAAAATACTTTTTGACATTTTATATTCATATAGTATTAACGTTATACGGACATAGAGGGTAAGCAATATCACTGTGGTTATGCCACATAATATGTCATATCACCATACAATATGATATGTCAATATACCATATCAATAGCATGTAATATAAAATGATAAATGCTATTTTAACTGTGAACAGTTAGTCATGCATTAATTATAAAAATTTATTTAATTCAATAAAAAAATTAAAACTTAACTAAATGTAATAAAAAAATAAAAATCTATTTAAAATTTTTAAACTAATTTAGAAGCTTTTTAAATATTATATTTTTAATTTATGAGAAACAAAGTTGCATGTATGATGTATTAACTTAGTT